TTGACCAACAATAATAAAAAAATAAGTAAATTAATGTATTATTAATTTATGCTATTAATAAAATATTATTTATTATATTGTTTTTATTAAGAACTATTCCGAGATTATTACATAAGCTTTGAGGCGCTTAACCTTAAAATGTTTACTGCGTTTGTTTATTTAATTAATCATTATACTTAACTATGTTTTAAGTACGTTGAAGTAAATTTAATAATTTCAATAAACATTCAGCGTTCACATTATAATCGTGTCTTGTTTATTATTATTTATAACAATTATTCAATTTTGTTTTCGTAACAATTACATGTATAAACAAACATGAAACAACACACACTGATAGCCCCAATTAGTTCAATATTTATTACGGCGCTGTATAGGCGCTACAGTCACGCTCGGAGCGAATAATGTCAAAGCCGCCGGTATGCCATCCATTTATACTTGTTTATCTATGCTTCACAAATAGCGAATATGTTTCTACTCTCTCTACTGCTACAAAAAACTCTACGCTTCATATGTCAAATAATAAATGTAAAAGTTGAAATTATTTATCACATTGAAAAAAAAATATTGATAAATTTAGGCTATTATTTAGCCCACAACTATTTTCGTAATTTTTTTTATGAGTATAAGCAGTGAAAATATTTAAAAATGTCGAAGGAAAACAATTATGTCTATGAATGAACAGACAATTAAAATTGAACCACCAGAATATTCACCAGAAGACATTAAACTCGAAATAGAGGATGATTTTGATGATCCCGACGTTATTGTTAAATCTGAATCGTGTTCTGAAGATGATGATACGTGTTTAGAAAGATTTATGAATTCCGAGGTGACAATTGAAGAAGAAGTCAAACAGGAGTTAGTCGAGACAACAACTTATGAATGTGACCTTTGCAATAGATTTGCATTCAGATCAGATCATTTAAAAGAGCATATGGCCGAACATATTGCTAATAATAGCAAAGAACGTCCTTTCAAATGCGAAATCTGTTACAAAACTTTTGATCGATTAAATAGCCTGAAAAAACACTTAGTCATACACAGTGGTAAGCGCCCCCACAAATGCAGTACGTGCAATAAGACATTCACAGATTTAAGTAATCTGAGAAGTCACAAGCTGATACACAGTGGAGCACGTCCCCATGAATGCAATATATGCAAAAAGACATTCATGCGAACAGGTGATCTGAAAAGACACGTGCTTATTCATAATGGAGTACGCCCCCTTGCATGCAATATATGCAAAAAAAACATTCACGCAATCAAGCGGTCTGAAGAGTCACATGCTGATACACAGTGGAGCACGTCCCCATGAATGCAACATATGCAATAAGACATTCACAGATTTAAGTAATCTGAAAAGTCACAAGCTGATACACAGTGGAGAACGTCCCCATGAATGCAATATATGCAAAAAGACATTCATGAGGAAAGATGTTCTGAAAAAAACACATGCTCATTCATATTGGAGTACGCCCCCATGCATGAATATATGCGAAAAAACATTCACGCAATCAAGCACTCTGAAGAATCACATGCTGATACACAGTGGAGCACGCCCCCATCAATGCAACATATGCAATAAGACATTCATAGATTTAAGTAATCTGAAAAGTCACAAGCTGATGATACACAGTGGAGCACGTCCCCATGAATGCAATATATGCAAAAAGTCATTCATGCAAACATGTGATCTAAAAAAAACACATGCTCATTCATAATGGAGTACGCCCCCATGAATGCAATATATGCAATAAGACATTTACGCGATTATATTGTCTGAAAAGACACATGCTGATACACAGCGGGAGTACCCCCGCATATGAATAAGACTTCTGAAAATGCACATGCTGTTTCATAAACAAGAGTCTTTATAAATATGAAGTATGTAAAAGGAATTTACTCAATCGAATGATTTGAAAAGACACATGGCACTTCATAGTCAGAAGCGTGGTGAAAATCAATGAACAATAAGCATATTTGTTTACTTAAATTTAAATATTTGGAAACATGTTGTAAACTTTTCTTGCATGTAATGATTTGTATAAATAGTATGAAATATACAGTAAACACTACTATTATATTTTTTATAATTTTTGAAGTAAAACTTCTTTAGGCGCGACTATGGTGTAAATCCGTACAAATGCAACGGAGGTGCGTTACGGCAGATAAGATAAGAATCGAGTGCCAATGATTCGTCATTCGCTCTCGATGATATCATTTCTATACGGGTCGATTGTCATTAGTCGTCGCGTATGTGAATAAAAATCTGTCGTTGTATGCATACCGGCATCAACGTTGTATGCGTACCGATATCAACAAGTAAATCGACATAGATAAGTAAACATTTTAAAGTTACATCGTAGTGCAAATCTTGATTTAATGGAAAATGCCTGTATCAGAAGAATATTTCATCCTGTCTCCCGTAAATAATTATAATGAAAATAATAAAACAAATGCAGCATTTGCGCCGTGTATGAAACATAAGTTTATTGAAATGATTTTATATTTTTCGTAGTTTCTATAAATCTTTGAAGTTATTAAAATGGAAAATATTTTTTAGGCAAGACAGATATTACAGCTGTTCAAAATAATGAGATTATATCGCCAGCGAAAAAGTAAAAAAAATACAATCAGTCAATGAATGTATGTAAATTTTAATTACATGAAGTTCTTCAAACACAATTATTACATGATGAATGAAGTTGCGAAAACAATATTTATTTAGGCGTTGTTTAATATAATCCACTGTGTGAACGAATATTATAGAATTTATCAATCAGCAATTACTTCATTTCTCTAATGAAGGTTCATTTATAAATGAAAATTAATGACAAACTGATCATGTTATATTTGAAATATGACTTTAATTACATTAATGTTTTTAAATAATTTAGATATTTTTAATGCTGTAATATATAATTTATAATTTATCATTATATAAATGTGTTTAATAGTTGACAATAATAAATGTGTGCATCAAGAGTGTTACCATATTACTAATAAAAATATTCAAAATTGTTATATAATGTATTTATTTTTTCTTAACTTAAATTTGCTACTTTGTACAGTAGCAATAGATAAGTTTACTTCAATAGCGTGTAGAACTTACGCACACTCTTTTTTTTAAAAAAACGAACGTTCTTAATTCTATGATTATTAGATAATAGTCATTAAAAAAAAATTAACTAGTGGTATATGGCATCGTGCCTTAAGGCAAATTGCTGGAACATATAATACCATAAATTAATTTTTTTTAAAAAGATATTTTTTTTTAACTTTGAAAGAAAATTTTGAATGTTTTTTTATTTTGAAATATTTTGGAAATTTTGAACTATTTTTCAAAGCAATCGCACTGCTTTAAATGCATAGAGAAGCAATATCGAAGCGCGTAAGCGCCGCGTCTCTGTCTACGGTTTTTGTGTACTGAAGTGTACGCAACATAGAGTAAGTGCACCCTACCATATGTAGGTTTGAGACAACTTTTTAGTGTCAATATACAAGTATTTACAGACTTACAGCTGGGTATCTCGAATACCGAAGTGAACTTACTATAATGACTGGACTATTAATTATTATCCCACCATATGTAGGTTTTGAGACAACTTTTAGTGTCAATATACAAGTATTTACATACTTATAGCTGGGTATCTCGAATTCCGAGGTGAACTTACTATAATAACTGGACTATTAATTATTACCCTACCATATGTAGGTTTGAGACAACTTTTAGGATGTCAATATACAAGCATTTTCAGACTTACAGCTGGGCATCTCGAATTCCAAGGTGAACATACTATGGTGTGATATCACTATATGATAGCAGTCAGACTTTTACTGCAATCTTTTGGAAGTTTAATTAAAATTGTAATTTCAATAAGTGGTGAAAATGGAAGGGAATTTTAATCAATCGTACACAGAGTATGATATAAGATACAATGAAGCAATAAAGAAGGATATAAAGGTTCAAAGATCAAATAATTTTAATACATAAGCAGAATATATTCATATCAATGTATTTTTGTGACTAATATTTGTATAATAGCAATAACATTTACAATGCAACAAAAACAAGTTTTCAAAGATGTTTCAAACAACTGCACTTACAGAGTTGGTTTCAGCTAATTAATATTTTATTGATTTTCATCTGGTTTTTCATTATGAACAGCCATGTGCTTTCTCAAATTGTGCGCCTGAGTATATTTCATATTGCATATCTCACATTCATAAGGATGCTCACTAGAATGAATTTGCATGTGTTTTTTTAGATTACATGATTGTCGGAATGTCTTATAACATATTTTGCATTGGTAGGGGCATTCTCCAGTATGTATACGACTATGTATTTTTAAATCACTTGATGTACGGAATGCTTTACTGCATATTTCACATTCGTAAGGACGCTCTTCAGAATGAATGCGCATGTGAGTTTTCAGATTTCCTAATTGTGTAAATGTCTTATTGCACTTTTCGCATTTGTAGAGGCGGTCTCCAGTATGTATTTGTCTATGTTTTGTTAAAGCACGTGATGAATGGAATGCTTTATCACATATTTCGCATTTATAATGACGCTCTTCAGAATGAATGTGCATGTGTGCTTTCAGATTAAACCACTGGGCAAATGTTTTATTGCATTTTATGCAATTATAGGGGCGTTCACCACTATGAATCTGCATGTGACGTTTCAGATTAAACGATTGAGTGAATGTTCTATTGCATATTTCGCATTCGTGCGGGCGTTCCCCACTATGAAAACCAAGTGTGTTTTTAGTGCAGATAATACTATGAATGATTTACTGCATATTTCACATTTAAAAGGTTTATCTCTGGTATGAGTATGCATGTGTTGCTTCAAATAATATGACCTGCTATAAACTCTAGAACATATTTCACATTTAAACCCTTTTAATTGTTCCATGTGTTCGATCATATGCTGTTCTAAGTGAAGCGATTCTGAAAAAGTTCTATTACAAATGTCACAATTATAAACTGGTGTCACAATTACCTCCTGTTTGACTTCTTCCTCTATCATCACCTCGGAATTCATAAATCTTTCCAGAGACGTTTTATCATCCTCAAAACAGGATTCAGACTTAACAATACCATCGACATAATTAAATTCATCATCAGTTTCACGTTTAATGTCTTCTATTGAATATTCTGGTGGCTCAGTTTTAATTGTCTGATCATTCAGAGATATAATTATTCCTTCAGACATCTTTATATTTATTTTTCACTGGGTACATAAAAATAAATATTATGTAAATTAACAGTTGTCTATGATACTAAATTATTTTAACCAAATACATTAAATAAAATAATGAATTCAACTACAACGCGTTTTTTTGTACAAAATAATGAAGAGGTTAGTCGCTTGACGTTTAGGTTTACAACGAAAGCATAGAGTACGTTTTCTAAAAAGATGGGACATTTATCATCTTTTTAAATTCAAAACAATGCTCTATGCTTCACCCAAAGATAAGAAAATGGCTTCACCTGTTAACTTTTTTTTTTCTTACATTATTTATTACAACTGTTTAATGATTTAACATCTAGCAATGATAATAAATAATAACATAAATTTAAATAAATAAGAGTAGAAAGAATAGAATTTACATTAAAATGATATCCGTAGTATGATGATTTAATATAAAATAAAAGCAAACTAGTGGTGTATGGCACCGTACCTTAAGGCTAACTACTGGAACTTCCCGTACCGTAATGAAATATTTGAGAAATTTTAAACGTTTTCAAATATATTATTACAAATACTGTAACTTTCATTATTTTTGCTTGTTAATCTGAGCAAATTAAATGTAAATCATAAATCAATTTATCTCCAGAACATTAACAATCGTCAATTCATTTCGAATTCAATTTCAAAAAAATAGTTGCCTTAATTTACACAAAATTGAAAAAGTGCTCCCGTACAGTCACAGTCTAAATGCATTTGCAAATAATTCTGTGCGACATTTTCATTATACTGTGCTTAGCTTGGCGGCATTTTCACATTTTTCATTAGTTTTCACAAAATTGGAAAAGTGCTCCTGGTACATGAACAGTCTAAATGAACTTGGTTAAACATTTGTACCAGAGTGGCGCTTAGACTGTGCTTAGCCTAGGCAATTTTTTGAATTTTTAATCCAAAATAAATTACAAAAATATTTTTTGAAAAAAAAAATTAGAAACAAAATTTTTTTTCCAAAAGCAATTATTTTGTTGAAACAAGCAGAAAGTTCTTTGAATGATTTAAATCGGACACTTAGTTCTCTCAAAAACTGCCATTTTTCTAACATTTAGCTCTGTATCTCCGAAACCGCTACGCCTAACCTTTGCCACTAAAACTAATAACCACTTTTTCCCGTCATTACGAACTGAATGTTTTTTGAATCATACAAATCGGATGATTCGTTCTGTCAAAAACTCCATTTCTATTTTCTGCTCTCTTTGCTCTTTATCTCCGTAATGACTGGACCTGCCTTTGCCAAAAACTAATCATCACATCTCCTTATCAATAGGAATCGAATATTTTTTTAACCATTCAAATCGGTTGATCTGTGCGCCCGAAAACGTGACTGGAAATTTGTATCCATACATACATACACAGTATTCAAAATACCAGTATTCAACGGGAAGTTCCAGCAATTTGCCTTAAGGCACGATGCCATAATTGCCTCAAGACAGAATTCCACTTACAGCTAGTTTGTTTTATATTTGAAAAGGAAAAACTTGATTTTATTTTACAACAGTAATGAATTACAAAAACTAATCAGCACACCTCCCTATCAATAGGAATTGGATGTTCTTTGAACCATTCAAATCGGTTGATCCGTGTTCCCAAAAAATTGTATCCATGCATACACACACACGCACACATCCATTTTTTGTCAAGTATGCCAAATTGTTCAAAAACCTCTGGAACGTGAAGATATGCAAAAATTTTCATTTTCGATTTTCGATCCATTACTATAGCTTACCTTAGGGAAATTTAAAGAATATTTGCATTAATCATACACAAAGTATGACAACATACAATAGAGAAGGATAAAAAGGTTCAAGAATCAAATATTTTTAACTTATAGACAGAAAATATTTATATCAATGTATTTACATGTCTGATATTTGTATTATAGTAATACAATTTACAATAAAAATAAAATCAAACTATTTTACACACAGAGTTGGTTTCAGCTAATTAATATTTCATTGATTTTCATCTGGTTTTTCATTATGAACAGCCATGTGCTTTCTCAAATTGTGCGCTCGAGTATATTTCTTATTGCATATTTCACATTTATAAAAAAGTCTTTCATAATGAATGCCCATGTGAGCTTTCAGAGTACCTAACTGTGTGAATGTCTTATTGCATATTTCGCATTTGTGTGGACGTTCTCCAGTATGAATAAGACAGTGTGATTTTAGAGAATATAGGAACGTAAATGATTTACTGCATATTTCACATTTATGACAACGAACTCCGGAATGTATGAGCATGTGTCTTTTCAGAGTTACTGATTGTCTAAATGACTTATTGCATAGTTTGCATTTGTAGGGTCGTTCTCCAGTATGTATTCGTCTATGTGTTGCTAAACCACTTGTCGAATGGAATTCTTTATCACATGTTTCGCATTTATAAAGACGCACTCCAGAATGAATGTTTATGTGTGTTTTCAGATTAAACAATTGTGCAAATGTTTTATTGCATATTTTGCATTTGTGGGGGCGTTTCCCACTATGAATCTGCTTGTGACGTTTCAGACTATATGATTGAGTGAATGATTTACTGCATATTTCACATTTGAAAGGTTTCCCACTGGCATGAATAAGCAAGTGTTGCTTTAAATAATATGACCTGCTATAAACTCGACAACATATTTCACATTTAAACCCTTTTAATAGATTGAGGGTCTTATTGCAAATTTTACTTGCATCAGGGTACTCTTTGCTATGACTGCGCATGTGTTCGATCATATGCTGTTCTAAGTGAAGCGATTCTAAAAATGTTCTATTACAAATGTCACAATTATAAACTGGTGTCACAATTACCTCCTGTTTGACTTCTTCCTCTATGGTCACCTCAGAATTCATAAATTTATCCAGAGACGTTTTATCATCCTCAAAATACGATTCAGACTTAACAATACCATCTATATAATTAAATTCATCATCAATTTCGCACTTAATGTCTTCTATTGAATATTCTGGCGGTTCAATCTTAATTGTCTGATCATTCATAGACATAATTGTTTCTTCCGACATTTTTAGTTGTATTCAGTATGTACATTCAGTAATTATCAATTGGGTATTCTATCAACTTATTTTATGCATATACTTTAAATAAAATAGTAAATTCAACTATAACGCTTTTTTTTTACAAAATAATGAAGAGGTTAGTCGTTTGACATGTAAGTTGACATGAAGTTGACAATGAAAGCATAGAGTATATTTTAAAAAAGACTAGCTGTACCCAAATGGTGGCGGAAGATAACAGTTCAACCCAAATTACTCTTTAGGGCCATTTTGACAAAAAAAAACAATATTCAAACAGTTTTAAAATACAAAAAAAAAGTCCATTTTTTTCAATAATTTCAAGATTCTCAAAAATCTATTTTTTTCATAGTTTTCAAAAATATTAAAGCTTTTAAAAGTTTGGAATTACGGTACGAGAAGTTCCATCAAATTGCTTTAAGGCGCAATGCCATGCACCACTAGTTTTCCAGATTTTTTGCGGCCCAGTGCCTTTTATATTCCTAAATTATGGCCCAAAGAGTAATTTAGGTTGGACATCGCTGCTTTAGGCCAAAATTTAAGAATGTACAAAGCAAAGGCACTGGGCCGCAACAAACCTGATAAACCAGTACTGCATGGCATCGTGCCTTAAGGCAAATTTCTGGAACTTCCCTATTGTAATTCAAGTTTTAATATCTTTAAAAACTTTGAAAAAATTAGGTTTTTAAGAATCTTGGAATGTTTGAAAAAAAAGAAACTTTTTTTTAGAAATTTGCTTTTTAACTTCTCCAAAGAGAAGTTTATGTTTTCATAAAAAATCCGATTCGCTAATTTTATGTTTTCTCGACATTTCAAGTCATTCTGAATCAAATGAAACCAAATTTGGAAAAAGTATGTGTGTATGCGTATGTGAACAGATTTGTTGCCGTAAATCGGCGTTTTCTCAAAAACGGCTGCACCGATATAAAAAATTTAAAAGCCATTCGATGTATCTCGATGAGGACTAGCGTTTAGCGAATTTGCGCGACGATCAGCCAAGCCGTTTCTTTGTAAATCACAGAAAAGTAAAAAAAAATCGTCCTTGTTTTAACCCGCAATTCTTAATCAATTTTGAAAATTCAAAAACTGTTCGAAATATATCGGTTGGGGATTGTGCTGATTAGTTTTTGGTCAAGATCGGCCGGGCCGTTTTCTTGTAATAAAGTGTTAAAAAAAATTTCGACGGTTTTTATTATGATGTTTTGACGGTAGATATCATAGTCTTATAGATCATACTAAAATATTACGGCCCTACGATAAGTTGTTTAATTTTAAAAATTCTTCAAAGTTTGCAAAGATTAGTATCGTTTTTTTGGCATTTGTCAAAATTAAAACTTTCATCGACGATTGCTCAAAAACGCCTGAACCGATTTCAGAAATTTAAAAACCATTTGAAGTGTCTCAAGGAGGACTGTCGATTATCAGTTTTGTGCGACGATCGATCGAGCCGTTCCATTGAAAATTGGAAAAAAGTGTTAAACTTGTGGTCCACATTTAAGCTCAAACTACCGAATCGATTTTAAAAAATCAAAAACTGTTTCAAAGATATTAGTTGGGAATGATACTGATTAGTTTTAGGTGAAAATCTATAGAGCCGTTTTCTTGTAATTAACTGTTGAAAAAAAAAAAATAAACCGATTTCTATGGAACTTTTTTGGCGATATATATCATGGTCTTATAGAACTTGCTGAAATATTACGGCCTTACGACAAGTTTAATTTTATAAAATTCATCAAAGTTTGAGAAATTTTCTAGACTGCCTAGACCACTGAACGAGTTCAACCACTGGAAAGCAACAGAGTTCAGATTATTTTTGTTATATTTGGGACCAGTAGTTTTGCAGCCTGCATTGAAGAAGGATAATTACCTGAACTTTTTGAAATTCAGCTTGCGTATTAGAATTTTATGCAATCCTGAAACCTGCGTTGAAAAAAATGATATTGCCAAGAAGTTCCTTACTGCATTTGTCAATGAGTATTCTAAATTATATGGAGCTGGCAGGATGACCTATAATACACATAATTTGGTACATCTTGCAAATGATGTCATGACATTTCAATGCTGCTTGGACAGGTTTAGCTGCTTTCCGTTCGAAAGCTATTTTAAAAAAATTCAGAGCAAGCTACAGAATTCACCGAAGCCTCTTCACCAGCTTGTTAATAGAATGGCCGAAGAGAAGTTGCTTGGAAGCGTGACCACAAGCAAACAGAGTTACCCAAGCATAAAGTATGAGAGAACAGGTCAAGTAAAAGTTTTTTTAAAGGATTTCTTTATTTCTAATAGAAAACCAAACAATCTCTGTATGGATACAGATGGCAAATTATTACTAATTCAAGAAATTTGTGACATGAATAAAATTGTATGTTTCATAATAAAGGATATGAATCCATTGTTTTTGGAACCTTGTGACTCGAGAGTTTTTGATATATGTATATATCAAAATCATCAAAATCAAGAAGATAAAAAAACAATATCTGCTCAGAATATAAGAAAAAAATGTTTGAATATACCATATTTTCTCAATAACATGCTTGTTTCAGTACCGATCATTCATTCTAATTTATAATATATTTTCGAATCACATTTTTTTTTATATTTTATATTTTTAGATCAAACAACTGTTATTATTAAAATTGTTTTATATTGACCAATATTAATAAATGTATATAGATAAAATGTTTTTATATTATTTTTTTTTTTTTTCAGATAAATTTTATTGCTTCAGCTTAGGTTCAAATGCTTTATAGTTAACATTAACTGTATTAATAAAATGGAAATTTTAAAATAGTTAAAATAATAATCGCAGAATTTAAAAAAAGAAAAATTTAAAATATAGTCTGATGAGATTTATAATTACAAAAATTCGTTTTCAACTAGTTGTACATATATATCATATACATATATATTTGTTTGTTTTTTATACATGTGTGTGTATTACAATTGAAAACTGAACATTTTTATATACATTAGATGTAGTATATATATAGTACGATATATATATACATATATATATATATATATATATATATATATATATATATATATATTAGGTTGTCAAATATCTCCCTTCCGCCTTTTTGTATTATAAACCAAGAGCAAAAAAGCGGAAGGGAGATATTTGACAACCTATATATATATATATATATATATATATATATATATATATATATTGTATAAATATTTAGTACAATCTCTCATACCAGACATTACGGTCTGCCTGAGATGTATAAAATTTATATTTTTATTCAAATAAATAATAATAATAAAAAAAAAAACATACGAAGACGGTTGATCGGCATGTCACGATTGCAATTTTAAACGAATGTCGCCACGATGATGGTTTATTATCATAAGGTGATATCGATCTCGTGATATATTTTTAACATCTACACCACATTGGTTTATTGCCACAGCGGGGATGTTGGCAGGGATTTATATAGAATATTGCTGCAACGTCACGTGCTTACTGGGTATAAATTCACCAAAGTTTGAGAAAATGAGTAGTTGTTTTGAGGTTTGTTAAAATTAAAATTACACGATTCACTTGGTATAACGATAGAGTACATGGTCTCTAAATGAACATACTAAACCATCAAAGTCCTACAGAAACTGGTTCAATTAAAAAATCTGTTAGTTTTTGAAAATTTCCTCTTAGAAAATACTACGAGTTGACGTGTTCGTTCGTTTTCAATTATGTGTAATAAAAACACAAATCCACTAGGAATACTTTTAATCACTTGCAAATTAATTTATTTTTTATTGATTAAGTCGATTATTTACACATATCGGTAAGTTCATGTAACTTGCCTCAAGGCAAAATACCAATACCAACTAGTTATAAATATAGACGAGACATCTACCATCTTTTTAAATGCAAAAGAAGTCTCTATGCTTCACTTGTCAAAACAAACGTCAAACTTGTGTTTGTTTTGAATATATTTATTATTTATTTTAATTATTAAAAGTTATGTAATGCGTATCATTGATATTTATTAAATTTGATGTATAATATTTAAAAATGTCTGATGAAACCATAAAAATCAAATTAGAACCTGAAGAATATACAATTGAAGAGATTCAAGATGAAGATGATGGCTTTAGTACTATAAAGACTGAAAATGATCAAAAATGTTTGAATTCACAAGTAACGATAGAAAAACAGGATGTATCAGATTCCCTTAAATGTGGTTTATGTAACAAAACCTTCAAACTCCCACATAATTTAAAAAAACACATGCTCTTCCACGAAAAACACAGCACATGTACATATTGCTCGAAGACATTTCTCAATCGACAAAACTTACAAAGACATCTTAAAATCCATACCGGTGAAAGGTCTTACGTGTGCAAAACTTGCAACAAAACCTTCAATGTAAAAAGTAATTTAAACCGGCACATACGTATGCACACAAAAGAGCATTTACTCACATGCAAAATATGTAATCAGAGGTTCAAACAAATGAGACACTTAAAGACTCACAGCGCAGTTCACACAGAAGCCTCTCAACATAGATGTAAAATCTGCGATAAAACCTTTTCTAAAAGAAGCAACTTGAAAGCACACCTGGTGTGTCATACTGGAGATCGCCCTCATAAGTGCAATATATGCAATAAAGCCTTTGTGCAACTCGGGAACTTAAAATCCCACATAGCCATACACACCGGGGACCGGCCACACAAATGCAGTTTATGTGATAAAGCATTCATACAAACCGGTGCACTAAAAAGACACATGCGCAGTCACTCTGGTGAACGTCCTTATGTTTGTGATGTATGTGATAAAACATTTATGGTACAAAATGCTTTAAACGAACACAAAGCTTGTGTCCACAATGGAGAACGACCACATAAATGCAAATTTTGTAATAAAGCCTTTGTGCGACTGTGTTATTTACAATACCACATCAGCACCCACATTAAGGAACGCTTGTATAAATGTGGGTTGTGTAATAAAAGATTTATTCGTGCTCCTGATTTAAAATACCACATGCGTACACATATGAACAAACAAGAAGGGATTTCCCACAAAGATCATCAGCATAAACGAGAATATAAATGCAAGATTTGTAAAAAAGTCTTCGTACAATTCAGGGACTTCAAATTCCATTTAGTGGTTCACACTAAAAAGCGTGCTTATAAGTGTGACTCATGTGTAAAAACCTTTACATTGAAATGCAACTTGAAACAACATAGAAATTTGCATAAAGAAGTTTCTAATTGATCTTGTGACATGGAATCCACTCAAAAGTGATATGAAGATAATTAGATAATAAATAGATTGTATTGTATTTTGTAAAAATTTTTTGTAAATAAACCAATAAGCTGTTAAGTTTATTTTTTTAGTTTTTGGAATGTTTGTTTTCGCCAGATAATCCGATTTGCTTATTAAGTCATTCTGAATCGTTTGACATCAAAATTAGAGTAAAACCAAAGAATAAAAAATGTATCAAATGTGCTTATAAGTGTGACTCGTGTGCAAAAAAATTTACATTGAAATGCAACTTGAAACAACATAGAAATTTGCATAAAGAAGTTTCTAATTGATCTCGTGACGTGGAATCCACTCAAAAGTGATATAGAGATAATTAGATAATAAATAGATTGTATAGTATTTTGTAATTTTTTTTATAAATAAACCAATGAGTTGTTTTTTTTTATCTTTCTGAAAGTTTGTTTTCGTCAGATAATCCGATTTGCTTATTAAGTCATTCTGAATCATTTGACATCAAAATTAGAGTAAAACCAAAGAATAAAAAATGTATCAAATGTGCTTATAAGTGTGACTCGTGTGCAAAAACATTTAGATTAAAATGCAACTTGAAACAACATAGATATTTGCATAAAGAAGTTTCTAATTGATCTCGTGACATGGAATCCACCCAAAAGTGATATGAAGATAATTAGATAATAAATAGATTGTATTGTATTTTGTAAATAAACCAATAAGCTGTTAAGTTTATTTTTTTAGTTTTTGGAATGTTTGTTTTCGCCAGATAATCCGATTTGCTTATTAAGTCATTCTGAATCGTTTGACACCAAAATTGGAGTAATTGAGCCAAAATTTGGTCTTTAGTCGACGTTTTTTTAAAAATGCTGCACTGATTTCCAGAATATAAAAACTCTTTGATGAAACCCCATAAAAATGTAGAAATTTGTTTACAAATTTGTAAAAGATATATCTATAGTTCTAAGATAAATTAGATAATTTGAAAGATAAATTCCAAAGATACAAAAAAGTACCTTCATGCATTATGTATGCTCATATTCAATCATAATTTTCTAATAATAAACATTTATATTCTTTACAAGAATTGTAGATAATTTATTTATCTACATGTTAAGATAAATTAGATAATTTGAAAGATATATTCAAAAAAAAGTCCTAAAATTATTAACAAATTCAAAAAAAGTTTACATTCTCGCTTTAAAGCAAAATGCTACTTACGCCTAGTTCATTTTAAATTTAAGTCTAATGAAGTTTTACTTCGAAATTTTTGAAATTTTTTAATTGCTTGTTGGGTATCATTTGAAAGGCCTCAAGGAGAGGAATAAAATTTTCATAAAAAAATAATTATATAAATAAAAATGTGATAAATATTACCAACATTTTATTAAAATATATCAAAATGTTAAATGTTCTGCAATAAATATTAAAATTTGTGGTAAACTTTTGTACAAATAATGGTGTAAAACTTTTGTACAAATATACTATAAATAATACAAAAATTTAAGGGTATTTAACGGAAGTATGCATCTTTATTGCATTTTTATGAACTTGTAGTAAACGGGACTAAAGAAGTTTTACTTAAAAAAATTAAGATCGAGTTTTAATAGCGTGTAGGGTATCATTTGATAGGTCTTTATGGATAGTATTCGAATATTGGAGTACAATTTTAATTTTGTGCATTTTTTGGAAAATTGTGCAAAAGTTCATATCATTATATTCTAACATTGAATATTCAACATGAAAAAAATAGGTGCAAAACTTTTGTGCAATTATACTATAATCAACACACAAGAATTTAAGGATATTCATCAAAAATATACATTACAATTGCATTTTTTATTAACTTGTAGTAAACGGGACTGAAGAAGTTTTACTTCAAAAAATTAAGATTGATTTTTAATAGCATGTAAGGTATCATTTGAAAGGTCTTTTTGAATAGAATTCGAATATTGGAGTACAATTTTGATTTTCTGCAGTTTTTTGACAACTGTGCAAAAGCTTCTTACATTTTGTATAAATATACTATGATCAAGACACAAAATGTACGGATATTTATCAAAAATATGCACCTCTATTGCATTTTTTATGGATTTGAAGTGAACGGGAATAAAGAAGTTTTACTTCAAAAAATTGGAATGTAATTTATGACATATGGAATATCGTTTGAAAGATCTCGAGAAGTATAATACGATTTCACTTTTTATACTTTTATGCATTTATAGTAAACGAATCTAAAGAAGTTTTACTTCAAAATGTGGGGTATCGTTTGAAAGGTCTTGAGAAGTATAATACAATTTTATCAATAAAAATCGTAATAAGTATCACTATTCATACTTTTATTGCACTTATAGTAAACGAACCTAAAGAAGTTTTACTTCAAAATATCTAAATATAATTTTCAATGCATGTGGGGTATCGTTTGAAAGGTCTTGAGAAGTATAATACAATTTTAATAATAAAAATGTGATATGTATCATCATTTATACTTTCATTGAACTTATAGTAAACGAATCTAAAGAAGTTTTACTTCAAAATATTTATAAAAAAAATTTATGGCATGTGGGTTATCGTATGAAAGGTCTTGAGAAGTATATTATGATTATCACTAAAAAGGAGATAAGTATCATCATTTATACATTTATTGCACTTATAGTAAACGAATCTACTCTTCAAAATATTTACATAAAATTTTCATGGCATGTGGGGTATCGTTTGAAAAATCTTGAAAAGTATGATACGATTTGATCAATAAAATGTGATAAGTATAAAAATTTATACTTTCATTGCACTTATAGCAAACGAGTCTAAAGAAGTTTCTCTTTAAAATATTTACATAATATTTTCACGGCATGTGGGGTATCGTTTGAAAGGTCTTGAAAATTATAATACGATTTTATCAATAAAAATGTGATAAGTATCACCATTTATACTTTTATTGCATTTATAGTAAACAAATCTAAAGAAGTTTTACTTCAAAATATTTACATAAAATTTTTATGGCATGTGGAGTATTGTTTGAAAGGTCTTGAGAAGTATAATACGATTTTATCAATAAAAAAGGCAAAAAGTATAATCCAATTAAAACTTCATTTCTTTCCCCAGGAACCGTTCGATAATGTCATCCCTCGCCATGGCAGGTTACAACGTGACAGCTCTCAGTGTAGACGTAGACGACCCACCTACACCTAACCTCAATTACATCCTTATGGAAGGGGTCTACGAAGAGGTCGAAAAGGTGTTCCTCAGTGTAGACCCTGAGAAATTCCAAGCAAAAACTGTCTTGGGAGGAATGGAGATGCTGACCAACTATTTTGTGATGTTATTTAAAATCGTTTCGAAAACAAAAGGTTTCCAACAGCTGATGGATTATCCGAGTGACTTCAAATTTGATCTGATTCTTTTTGAATATACTGGTTTGCCGGATATTTTGGGTTTTGCACATAAATTTAATTACCCACCCATTATTGGTAAGAAAAATTGACACCAGTGGCTCATTTTAGCACAACCTAGTTTCAAAAATCCAATACAACAATCAAATTTCTTTCACCAGGTATAAGCCCCTTCATGACACCCCCAAACACCTACGACATCCTCGGAAATCCCCAAGTCCCATCCCTAATCCCCTACTACTCCACGGACTTCTCTGGAGACATGTCCTTCTGGCAGAGGTCTCTGAATCTTTTCTACTACTTCATGGATTATAGGAACAGAAGGAGGACCATGAACATTTTGGATCCAATGGCCAGAGAGGTTTTTGGACAAGATCTTCCCTTTATTGGAGATTTGGAGAGAGAGATTGACCTGGTGCTGGTTAATAGTCATTCAGGAATGGATTTGCCGGAGTTGCTGTTGCCTAATGTTATCCAAGTTGGGGGGTTGCAGGTTAAGGAACCAAAGAAACTACCAGAGGTGAGGGTATCATTATGATAAATATCATTTTTATTGTTTAGGAATGACATATTTATTAAATATGTCAATTATCGATTACTTTAGAACATCAACAACTTTTTCAACGGCGCCAAAAAGGGAGTAGTCTACTTCAGTCTAGGAACCAACGTGAGGAGCAACATGATGGGTGAAGAAAAAGTCCAGATGTTCGTGAGAGCTCTGGCCAAATTCCCAGACTACCACTTTTTATGGAAAATCGATAGAACTGATTTGAAAGTCTCCAAAAACGTTATGGTCACCAAATGGGCATCCCAGAACGACGTTTTGGGTAAAATAATACTGAATTGTTATAGATAATTTAACCTGAGGTTCTCTTTTCATCCAGGTCATCCCAAAACGGTTCTGTTTATGTCCCATTGTGGTCTTTTGAGCACACAGGAGGCTACTTGGCACGGGGTGCCCTTGTTGGGGATTCCTTTTTTCGCTGATCAATTTACGGTAAGGTGAAAAAAAAGAAATTTATAAAATAACTAGCAAACCCGACGAACTCCGTTTCGCCACCAGATGGTTTCGTGAGAAAGATGAAGAAATTTGTTTGTTTTATATTTGAGAAGGAAAAATTTGATTTTATTATACAACAGTAATGAATTTATTTCGATTACAAAAATGAAGTGTTTTTTAGTTGAACTTCTCTAAGTAAATGAAAGTGAATCCGCAAATTATCCGTTTCATTGAAGTGCTTTTTGGTAAACCACATTTTTTGTTTTTTGGTCTAACGTTAACACAAACAAAGCGGATGGTTTTCCAACTCGTGAACAGGCAATGTATAACTGCCCATTTGAAAAACAATGATTTTATAAACAATCTATTTGAAATTTATCCCGCAAATACTAAGCGATTGGCGGGATAAATTGTTATTGCGAACGCAAGGCGAACTGGAAATTGCAATCGTTTAAAGTCAAACGGAGGACCAGTCGGAATCATTGGTATGTCACCAAATCGCCCGCAATTTTCGATTGAATGGTGAAATTCAGTGCGTGTACATAACTATTGTTTGCGGCAAGAATTGCTCGTTGACTTAACCAGACATAATTCTGATTATTCTCACCAATGTCTTTACTCGAATTTTTAATTACGATGCGTGAAGTTCCAGCAATTTGCATTAGGGCATGATGCAATGCACCACTAATTTTCTTAGATATAAACCTTGCGGGGCCGTGACCTTTCCAACGAATGCAAAATTGTCAAAATCGGTTCGTGCGTTCTGGAGATATATCTAGGAAGAAAAACCCGACATATATATTTTTATATATATATAAGATGAATATGAAGTTTTCACGTCAAAGAAACTGCAGTAGGGTTTTGGGCAAATTTTGGTGTCAATCTCTTCAGAAACATCGAAAAAACAAATAGGATTTCTTGGCAAAAACTTGTTTATTTATTTAGGCTTTATACAGATCAAAATTTTATTTCAATTATCATTTTCTTTTATTTCAGAATGCTAAAAAAGCAGTAGACGCCGGCGTTGCTGAACAAATACTCATCATATCTGTCACCGAAGAAGAAATTGTAGATAAATTGGGACGTATGTTGAATAACCAAAGGTTGGTAACACTGTCATACTTTTTTTTTATCTTTTTTAGTTGTGCTTAATTGCTAAGAGTTGGTAAGCACTGGTGAATACAAAATTACCAAAAATCTCGTATACCTATATACTTACTAACAAAGGGTTAGTAACACTGGCTTACCAAAGTATATAATTTGCTTTTTGAATAAAACAGAGAATAATCAACTAGAGATATTTTTTTTTAGATAAAATATATCAAATTTTAACGAGCTGGTCAGACCATTTCGACCAGCACAACAAAATATTTATTTCACTATCTATTCATTCACTATGAACATATCCCCTTACCATTCATACCAACACATCAACAATCAACTACCTGATCTTTTCCTTCCAGTTACCAAGACAACATGACCCTCCGCTCCAAAAGATTCCGCGACCGCCCGATGGCCCCCTTGGACGAAGCAGTATGGTGGTGCGAGTACTCGATGCGACATAAAGGAACGCGCCATCTAAGATCCAAAGCCAGAGACATGAGCCCCCTTGTGCTCTTCATGTGGGACGTGCTTCTGGTGTGGCTCGGAGGACTTATGGGGGCCGTTTTAGTTTTAGGTTATGTAATTAGAAGGATTCTTGTGAAGAAGCCGGAGACTTTCGTTAGTTGTGCGAAGGAATTGAGAGAGATGAAGCTGATGAATGGGACCAAGGGGGCTTCCAATGGGACTGCCAAGAGGGCTTATGGAGTTGGTAATGGAGTGATGAAGAAGACGCAATGAAAAAATGAATAAATATTAATATAAGACTCTATTTGAAGTGTTTTTTATTTATTTACACCTTTTGATAGTTCTGTTTTGAGGTTATGCTGTGAAGGATATTTCAGCTTAATTACCACGTGATCTTTTCTTAGACCGAGTTTTAAGGTATACCGAGTTGCTCTAGAGTCTTATGTTGTTACCCAATGTTGTAGATAAATTAATTTAGACCAAATTTGTCTCTTACCTTATCAATATTAATCGAATGGTTTCAAAGCTACAGAAGATTTAATGGATTTGTGGTAAATGACAATGTCGGAGAATATTAAATTTTCAAAATATTAGTTTCACACATCATTTATATTGATCGAATGCTTTAGAAGTTACAAAAATAAATTCTCAATTAAAATGATCAATTAGTGATTCAAGATTGTTATTTAAATTTAATTTTGAACAAATAGTTTTTTCCCTCTATTATACTTTTTCATTTACTGGTACAAATCTATTATTAAGCCAATTTGGACCTACGGTATACAACCATGGAAGATCAGTTTCCAAATCAAACGTAATAAAAATTCAAAGATGCCAAAACAAAATACAAAAGAATGTAAGAAAGCCCTTAAGTACTATCCAAATTAGTTGAAGATAAAGACGCCGATATGAACACAATAAACGATGAAATACAAAGACATTCAGACAAGTACAAAGCCGCTTCAAAGATCATCCAACCTCATTAGCCAGAGAACTACGCCACAACATTATGGAAAAAAATTCATGTTACAAACATCAATCAATTTTTAAAAAATTGACAATCGTTAGAAGATTTTGTATTTTGAAAGTCATATTTTTTAATTTTACAGCTTTACTTGTTATATCAAGCCTTTATCAAAAATAACTTGTTTTGAAGTTAAATTTAAGCTTCAAAAAGGAATTATAATTTTTGTGGAAAAATTACTTCAGCATTGTGGCCTATTGTTGGTATGTAATTGTGATGCAATCCTTAACTACATTTTTACTAAAGTCAAGTCAAAATTTAATTCAGACAGCATCAGAAATTTAGTTTATCGAATAAAATGTACAGACTGCAAACTTATTTACTTAGGCGAGACAAGACAAAATCTGAGCAAACGCCTACATCAACACAAAAATAATTCAACACAACAATAATCCAAAAAACAATTTAAAACTATGATCACAGACCATATGAACAATTTAAACCAAAACACAGATTTTTTTAACCATAAAATTCTTCACTTAGAAGAGAACTTGTTCAAAAGGTTTGTTGAAGAATTGTTTATCCGATTACATGGTGACAAGGTTCTAAATAAAAGCAACAACTTGACATCTCTGAACAAAAACAATTCCCTCAAAAACTGTATTTTTGACTATTTTTGACTATTTTTGCCCCGTATTTTGAAACAGCTGGGCCTACCTTTACCAAAAACTAATCAGCACGTCTCCTCATCAATAGGAATCAAATATTTTCATTAATCATTCAAATCAATTTATCCGGTTTTTGAATAGCTTGTCAATGACAAAATTCCATTGTTGCCTTCTATTACACATGGGCAAACGTTTATGACAAATATATTTATATATTTATATGTCACACATTTTCGATAACTTAATAAATATTATACATATTTATTAGTGTGTTCTGTTGTAGTGCCAAATTATATAGATTTTACAATAGTGCACATCTTAATACCAAGACACAATAGTGTATCATTAATTAAGGATGCTAAATTGTAAGTGTATTTGGATTAGTTTACTATTACTATTTTTTTCTTGAATTATTACAAATTATTTACTCATTTCAATTATTGTAATTGACAAAATATACCACTGTATAAAAAAATTCTTCTGTAATAATGTATGTAAATATACTCCTTCTAAACGATTATTCAGGTTTTGATAAATCTTTCTTAAGTTTGTTAAGGGAATTTTTTAGGATGTAAATGATTATAAAAATATAGTGATATTGTAGAAATAATGGAAAAAATTGCAAAAGACGACATGTCATTATTTGACAATGAAAATATTTGAGACATCTTTGGCATTGAAAACAAATGAAAACTGTCACCTGCCAAAAATTTCAATTCACTTATGACCCTGAACAATATTAGAATAAAATAAATTCATGATTATGAATAAGAAAAATGAAATGTCTACATTAAAATAATATAAGATACAGTCAACAGTATATGCTTGGCAGATGAAATTATATAATTCAGTTTAATAAATAATGCAATAAGTCCAGAATTGCATATACATTATTTTTTTAAACTTATGTATGTCGAATTTTAGTTTACTAAATTATTTAACAATACAAAAAAATATTTCTACTTATTAAAAAAATGATTTAGAATTTTGTTTCATCTTTCAAAAATTCATTTGTTTGGCATTGGATATGGAATATTTAGCAAATTGATCTTAGATTGATTAGTGCACATATGAACTAGATTTTACTAATTCATTCACCTAAGATTTAAACTTAAATAATAATGTTTATTAAATTATTAGTAAGAAAAATGTATTTAAGAAATTATAATTTCCAAAAAGCAGACTAATATATCGTACGAGATTATGAAAATTATAGAAGCAATTATGTTGTGTAGTAAAATCAAGTGTGATATTTTTCTTTTACCTCAGATACTGTATTATTTTTTGCTGAATTTCTTATACTGCTTATGCTAAGACTATAAATGAATCACAAAGGCAAGACATCAAATAGGATATTAAAAAATATAGGATAGATATAAAAAATCTGGAACTTTTGAATTGTAGACATGAGTACAGGACAACGTCTCTCAGGTCATCTAGTATATATATATATATATATATATATATATATATATATATACATACACATATATACACATATACAGGACATGATTATCATATAAATATAATGTGAGACATGTAAACAAGGGAAATTTATCACTCGAATTGATAGGGGAGGCGCGGGTAAAGCAAATAAGCAATTAAGGGAAAAGCCCTCTCTACAATTACCTACCATATAATAATATAGCGTTATTCAATTGAGCAAAACACTCGACGGGGAAGAGAGAGAGGGAATGAGAAAGAAGCACAGAGGGAGAGCGAGAGGGACATATATAGACACAAAGGATAGAAAGAGATGCACACACAAAGATAGAGGAGGGTCACATACAGCTAGACACAAAGGGGGTGAGAAATAGACACTTGTCAAATTGTAAGTGTCACATGCACGTAACATATACGTTAACGATTGTTACGTACGTGCATGAATACACATGATAAAAGATTAAGATTGATTTTTATATTGTACAACATGTCTTTATATTATTATATACAATTCACAAACTTCAAAATCATCAAAACAAAAACAAAAGTAAAATTCTTATTTTTCAAAAAAATCTTATGGAACCTTCACATCGAGATAAAGAAAACACAGAGACACACACATACACATATACACACACACACATATATATATAATTTATATTTCAAAATAAATCATCCCTAAAAACGTTCCGGAGTCGCTTAATTTAACAAATCGGAGTAAAACTGAAACGTATATATGTAAACTAGAAGTGTTTTAGAATGCATTTCACAAAGTTTTTATTAATTTTGTTATCGATTGGATTTTTCACAATGGTCGAAAGCGGTTTCGACGCCATCTTGATTTCGGACGCCATTTTCTCAGTACGAGAAGTGGGATACTGTACGAACACAGTGGAGACATTTTGGAAGTTCACGTGGAAATTCTTCGAGGTATTTAATTAAACGTAGAGTTAACAGTGTTGTTGTATAGCTTATAATGTTAGACAAAGTTGTATGTTTTTTAATTAGAAGCAATTTCTCAAATACATTGTTCATATTAATAAAATGGTTTAGGTTTTACAAATGGCATGGGTAAGTAGAGCACTTGAATGAAGTTCAGACTAAGTGCCCAATTTTTGCAGAATTCCGAGTTGATGTTGCATTTTAATATACCAAACAACATCATTCAGTATTTAATTTAGTGCAAATTTGTATAATTTAATTTTTTCTGTTTTTTTAGAATAAACGTACAAACGTAATATTGGGAATCAAAGACACCTCCTTCGAATTCGGTTTGGAACTTCTGAAATGCAGTATGAGCAACATAACAATTCCAATAAAGTATTTCACTTTGAAGTGGTAAGTGCAAAATCACATCTAATGCCAAACCCACTTAATCCCTGTTCTTTTTCCACCAGGGATGAAAAAATTCCGCCCTTCAAAACATTCGTCAGGTCCAAGATCTCAGAAGGGTTCGTCATAATCACTGACAACGCCAAAACATCAATTTTCCGGATAAAAAGCATTTCGGAAGTTGATCAGACCTCCAAAATCGTGGTCGTCCTAGTCGATGGGTCTTCAGAAGACGTGGAAGAAATTTTGAAGACGAGCTGGCACCACTATAACATGATCAATGTGGTGGTTGTCCACGGTTTTCGGAATGATGAGCGATTTTTTATACCCAAAAACGGTCATAAAGCCATGGAGAATATAGGGATTTTATATAGTAAATGGGCTACGAAGCATACTAATGATAGACTGATTGTAAGAAAAAATAGAGGATATCAGATGCCAGTTAAGAATAATTTGGTGAATGACCAAAAATTGAAAGCATCTGAATTACAAATTGATAATAATTACCTGCAGAGCGGTTGCAAATTTGGATATGACAACTGCACATTGAATTGTGCAGGCCAGAACCAGGAGGGCTTTCTTGAAACTGTTATTTGTAACGAAGACATCAAAAATATAGATCAGGAAAGTTTGGAGCATAAAAACGTCCTTTTGGATACAAATCAAGACTTCAGTGTGAAATTGCAACGTGAACTAAATAAAAATAAAGTGAATTATATGTTTTTCATTACCTTCTACAACCCATTTCTTCTTCAGAACAACATCCGTGGACGGATCTTCAACCAACCAATAACAGATCAATCATCCTTAACTTCAGATTTCTTCAAAACTTTACGCCAACGTATGAACAACGTTCACAAATATCCTTTGAAAATTTGCATTT